GAAGCGTCATTTATAAAGCTGAGCTTTCGAACTACGTAAATGTAATATTAGGGCGTGCAGTTTCGATGGAGATCTATTCTTTTTGCATATTGTCCATATTTACCAATATGAGTTTCGACGTCATTTTTATACCGAAAAAAAAACTACTAATTTTTGGTAGTGGTTCGTACATCTCTCAATATTTCTTTATGAAAATGAAACGTTATAACTCAAGTATGGTGCCTTGTTTTATAATAGTATGCTATGTTTATAATCCAATTTATTCCCGTTTTATTGCTGCAACAAATATTTTATTTTATATTTGATCTAAAATGTTTTGAAAGTCTGTTTTATGTATTCACGCAAACTTTACTTGCCATGATACTTATTGCCAATAGCGGTACCTATCATACCATTGCTTAGGTTTAATACATCGAACTATTTAATTAAGAACTTGTAAATATTTTGTTATTTATTAATAACTGTTTTGCAGCGGGTTATGTTAAGTTCGTCGCCGCTTGTACTAAGTAACTGATTCATTGATTAAGTTGTGGAATTCTTTACTTATTTCGATACAATCTGATATTTTACAACCTGATTAAGCTGTTTCGAGTAGTTGAAATTAGTAATGCAAAGTCGACTATAAAATGATGTTACCGTATTTACCAATTTACTATTATGAAATCCAAGACCATAACATTCAATTTTGTTAAACAAGTTCAAAATGATGTTAAAGATAGATACGGTAAACATTTTTATATTCGACGACCTACGAAAATGTGTATATTGTATTCGTAGCAATAATAAGAGCCAGCATGTCATTTAATTAGTTAGTTACAAATAGATAATATTATATTTTTGTACCTACTACTTGCATAGTTAACTGATTATGTTTGTGACTCTCATAGCAGTACGACGTTGCAATACGAACCTTAACATCTACTACATACAAGCGGAATGACACGAAACTATTCCCTGTCATTAACATCTGATTTATTATACCCCTTTATGAATACACAATATTCTTTTACTTATTAGGTGATATATGTTATCTTAGTTACTATTAATCTTTTATGTTACTATATTATATTATATAATCACCGTAATAAATAATGTTGTTTTACTCTATCCCTCATTAAAAGAATGCTGCAATTGTAGGTAATAGGGTATTTTCCTAAATTTTATTTTAATATCCGTCTGGGAGATTAATTTAAAACTTTAGACACGTATTTTTTCATTTCTCACAAAATTCAATACTTTCGACGATATATAGATTTTGAAATATCGTGTGACGTCACAGCGTGCCACATTTTGTAGCACGTTATGACGTAACGATCGTAACACCTAAACTTAGCGCCATTTTATTTAAGTATTACAATTACAACTTAATACTAGAAAATAAAAAAAATACATGTCTAATATTTTTTCATTATCTAACTGACGGACTAATTAGATTTTTAATTATGATACCCTGGAAACTACCCAATTGTTGTATGATTTTAAACGCGCGAGATCTCGGGGCTGTAGACTATAGGCCTGCTTAAATTTCACGTCTTGGCATACGGGTTGAAGAGCTGCTGCTGATTGGACAGGTCTACGAAACCCGTGTGGAAGTATTGGATGATAGGAGATGTTCCTGCGATCGAGTTCATATATGCTAATCTTTAAAAAAAAATACTATTATCTTTTGCCTTGTTAGTTGAGTAAAGACTAGTAATGAATGAAGAAAATAGTTCCTTAGTTTTTTTAATAAAACCAACACCCTTCCTACAGTTGGATAAAAGACGAATAGGTACTTAAATAACAAAGACGAATGTACAGTACATCAGTACTGGTACATATGAATAAGCGTCCCGTTGTGACTATAAACAGTTAGAGCTTTTCTCAGTTGCTTCACGTGAGTGAATAAGCGTTATTTTTAATTGACTAATATAGTTCCCAATTACAAGTTCGTCTACAACGATCTACATACGAGAATGCCCTCTAAATGTATAAAGTTGCAATTGTTAATTAAGCTGAAATTTTCGTCGTATAATCACGTCGTTCGCGTTCACAGGCGATTAATGTCATGGCAATGACGACATTCAAGGGTTAATGAGGTTTCATAGTACCTGCGAGCGCTTCATTCCAAAGTGTAGCACGTACAGTCGAGCAATGAATTAAAAAAATATTTAAAAGATACGCATTTGAAAAGCAGTCTCCTGCATTGCCTACTATTTTTACTGTCTTAATATCTATCTTTCTTATTAATAATGGGACGGGTATTTTTATAATAATGACGGTAGCGACATCTATGTTGTGCATTGAAATTTTCTCCCAATTATTCGTTGAATAAGTATACACCTAAAAGGCCTGACAGACACTAGTCTGGACACACTTTTAAAACAACAAACCTGTTTGTGGCAAAAATATGTGGTATTACTAGGACTTTTTCTCCCACGCTTTAGTTAAGGAAAATCTGACTAGTGTTTCGGTGGCAGTACCACATGGCGCTACCACAATACACCGGGGATTTCAGTCAGCATCAGAACTAAAATGGAATAAGTTTGTATTACTATGGTATTCCCTATGTCGAGGACCTCATTACTCATTAAGAGTATATAGAGGTTGTAATTAAACTGCTGTTTATTAGCAGACGTATTTTCGTTTCGAATTGTATCAAAATAATATACACTAGACGGCTTAGTACTAATTGGTTTTGCGTTTAAAGTAATCGAACGCATACTGGGTTCGGCACTCTGATTGGCCGGCTCCAATCAACCGACCAATCACAGCGCCGACCGCGGTCTCGTCTTGATTACTTTAAATGTAAAACTACCTCGTCGTTATACCTTAAATGACATTTGACTCATTAATTCTGTATTGTCAGTGTTTACACTAAAAAGTTTTCTACGAGAAATACGTAGTCGACTACAAATAAAAAAATAAAACACGTGCTTCATTTTAAACTTTTATTTATATCGTTGCCTAAGTACTTATATTAAAATGCTATATTAAAATGCAAAAATATTCAGTAAGCTATCGCGTCTAGCATTCATATCATTGAATGCTTGTTGTGTTATTATATTCATTGGTCAAATACATCTGTTAGCTCTACATCATTCAAAATACACAGGGTATATAAAATACAATATTTGAATTCTACACGACAATATAAAAATACATTTGACAATCATTCGTCCAAAATATAATTTTACTTCCAATACAGAATTTAGCTTTTTTTCATAGATATACAATTTAGAATAAATTTCTCGTTGTGTAAATCACATGTATATTGTATTTTTTAATAATTTAGAAGTTTAATAATACTCATGGAAAATGAGGAATTATGTATGTTTGTATAAAAATTAGTAAGTATTTTGTGCAATTTTAAAGGGATTATTTATTTGTGCGCAAAAGTTATATCTTTCTTTAAACTTTGTACATTGTACAAAAATACCTCCAAATTACACTTCCATTCATTCTTAAAATATTTAAAGTTCAATAAAAGCACTTATATACTAGTAATAACATACTAGTTTCCTTATTAAATGTATTATTTATTGTATGTACTATATTTTTACAATAAATACTAAGTAGATGTCACAATTATAAAAAATAAGTTAGTTGCCTTATAATATATATAATTACAAAACACTACGGTGTCGCACTCAGCTTTGAATATCAATATCACAGACAATTTTTATCAAAATTGTATCAAACTGTGTGTATCTAATACTTTTCGTTTGCTTTCATTAGTTTGGTTAGTTTAAATATACAAAATAACTAATCTATATGCAAATTCTAACCATATTATATTCAACAGTTTTATTAATTGCACATAAACTGTTATATATAGCAATTCTAATCTTTTACCTACTTTCTAATACTCGAAATACATATCTAAGTAGGATAGTGTAATTTTTTATTACAATCTTCCAGCAATTAATAAATGCAATGTCAAAATACTATATACATATCAATTAAAATATTTGTTTACAAAAAGATGCGAATAAGTTTTAAAAATACAGTATTTATACAGTAAATACAGTCCCAAAATATTTAGATAATACGAATTTGTTTAAATTTTAATCACATTTAATTTGTTTTTATTTATTGTAAATCGTATTAGTTGGGCTATTTTCATAGCAAAAGAGACACGGATATAAGCAGTGAATTAGTACCTTGGTTGATTTATTTTCTCCAAGACAAAAACCCAAATAAGGCAAGCCGTAATCATTAACCATCTTATTGTGGTACTTTAGGCATCATGTTTGCTTAATTTAAAGTTAATTCGTGAAAATGAGACCTACCTTTTGTGAATAATAGCTATATTTTTTAAGGGTACCTGTTTCATATGAATGCCTAATTATTTTCACATAAGGCACGTTTGTAATGAATTAAATTGATTTTAAAAATCCTGTTAGTGTACCTTTATTAAGCCTTGTCAATTTATCATGGTTCAAAATGAGTAAATGAGTAAACTTCATTAATGATTAGGTGTGTACATTATACAAGGGTACTTTCTAAAAGGGCAATATTTATCTGCAATATAGTTGCCAGCAATATTGTGTATTTTTCCAAGCAATATTGCAGTTATATCCCGGCCATTTATTGAAACATTTTTGGTATAGTCCGTAGTCATGTACGATCGGTACGGCTGAGCCATTAGTTATTAACAAATAGAAAAATATTCCCCGTGCAGAAGCATCATATGATTGGTGCATATGATCATACCTTCTTACAAGAAATAGCCGTGAATATTTTTGATATGTCAGTGAGATAAATATTTATGTGTGTTGCCGCAGAGGCTAGACAATCAGCTACCACGTCACGATTACATCAACTACACATTTTCGTTTCATATCTACATAGGCTTGATGTGTAGTATATTATGTGAGAGTGTTTATAAACGTACCCACAACATAGGAAACAATTCTAGTATGGGGTATCGTTTTATAAGGGGACTACATAGTGGAGTAGATGTCAGATGCACGGTTAGGCGCCTGCTGGTCGTGCATGTCGCAGCAGGCGCAACGCAGTCAGCGAGGAGGACGACGCGTCACCCGCAGCAGCACGGGTCCTGCACGGACATCCTTGAATAGACGAATCGCCTCTCCATGTGTCAACCCTGCCGTGCAGCGTCCGTTTACTGACAGGATTTCATCACCTGAAAATTAATGAGAATTGTGTGAAAGATGGTTCTATTAGGCAGAAATTAATATTTTCTTTGACCAGGGGTTTTCAACCTTATTCGCACCATTGCCCTTTTAGTATGAAGAAATATGTCGGGACCCCCCCCCCCCCTACTAATAGTTTTTTTTAACTAATATTGAATCCAATACATTTGCCAATTCGTAACTACTTGTGCACGTTGACGTTTTCGTCAATGGCTCAAAGAGAAAGCAAGGATAGAAATGGTTTAAATTCGGAAAACGAATTCTAAATGAAGCATAAACGGATCCACGGTGGGAGAAATTAGTGAATGAAAAACAAGCGTACATTAACGGTCCTTATAAGTTTATTTCATTTTTTTTAACCTCTTATATGTCGGTAGTTAGACGGTAAAAGAAAGCAAGGGAGGCAAAGAAAGAGATGGCGAGATATTTTTACCCAACGTTGTGGACCAGACTGGATGCAAGAAGCGCGTAAATAAACCAGAGTAAATAGCGAAAATAAACCAGAGTAGAAGAAACATGTTAAAAGGAACGGATTTACATAAACAGCTTAAGAGGAAGAACATAACATTATTAACATTTGTTTACTTTGAAATGATTTAAATCTAAATAAGTTTTTGTCTAAAATATTGTAATGGAATGTGGAATAAAGGACATTTTTTGTGTATTTAACACACAGAAAACGCATTGTGTCTCTAGTGATCTACGTTCCGACATACCAGAGGTTTATGATAGATAATGGATAATAGGAAATGATTATGATAGAAAAGATTTTAGAAGTTATTACCTAGTATTTTTTTCATATAAATGTCTTTTAGTTAACATTTCTCGTAATAAAACTTTATAAATGTTACGGTTTATTTTTTACTGCTGTAGCTGTTCCAACCTTTAGCAATTCCACTATAAAATCCACAGGTTCAAAAACCATGTCTAAGTCTATGAAATACTCATTTAAGATTTATTTATTTATTTATTTATTTATTTATTTATAATTACAACAATATAGACTAACAGTATTATGTCTACCAAATCGTCTACATGTCACTAAATACACAATTAAAATATTACATTATAACTAAAATTAGGAACAATAATGAGATCAAATACAGTTAAATATTTAAGTAATAAAATAATAAAAAATTAACCAAACAATAAAAACCGACAAACAATTCAAAAACAACCTATTTAGTCTAAAATTAAGTGTTAAGAGTCATTGAGATAAGCCAAAATGTATCTGGACACTGCACTAACACCATCGAAAAAAAGGTCTGCATCAGGATTGCTTTGTAAAAGATCATTGATCATAGCAACCGCCCGGCCCGTTGGACAGTTACCAGTATGGGGAGACCGCCAGCTCGGCGGACAAGCAAGTAGTCGGTGACGCCGCCTACCAGTACCACGCAAATATCGATCGGGGACATAAAAATAAATATTGTCACGCACCGATGGATTATCTATCTTCCCAATTATCAAATAGTAGTAGTGTAAAATATGTACATATTTCCGCCTCAGTTCCAATGTGTCCAGGCCTACCATACCAGAAACAAACATTGATGGGTATAAAAATTGATAATATCCATATTCACGTTTGTATAGGAACCGTGCAAACTTACGCTGGATTTTTTCAACCATAAGGGTATATAACTTTTCATGTGGACTCCAAATAATTGAGTTATATTCTAATTTACTACGTACGTATGCATTGTAGAGAAGCTTAATGGTCTTAAGGTTCCTAAAATTTGAGGACATTCTTATTATAAAACCTAGAGCTTTGCTAGCGTCTTTGCATACTTTAATTATGTGCTCGTGGAAATTTAGTTTAGCATCCAATGTAATGCCCAGATCACGTATAGATGCAACTCGCTCAAGAGGTGTACCTGCTAATTTATATGATATTGAGACAGGGGATCTAGAACGAGTGAATGTGATCGATTTACATTTGGTGACATTAAATGATAATTTATTACTTTCGCTCCATCTAACAACTGCATCAATATCTCTCTGCAATTGCACACAGTCATTAATATCAGAGATAGAGCGGAATAACTTTAGATCGTCAGCAAACATAAGGCATTCAGTTTTAGACAAGACACTGGGTAAATCATTGATCATGATTAGAAACTGCGTAGGTCCCAGTGTACTACCTTGGCTTACTCCCGACCTTGTGTAGTATTCTTGTGACCGAAAATCACCTATTTTCACGTACTGTTTCCGGTCCCTGAGATAATCTGCCATGAATCTCAGAAGTTCCGACGAGAAGCCTACAGACGCAAACTTAGTTAGAAGGATATCGTTGTCCACTAAATCGAAAGCTTTTGAGAAATCAAAATACGCGGCGTCAACTTGACCACCATCTATCATTTTATTAGTAGCATAGTCTAAGAATTTTGTGTGATTAGTTAGTGTGGAACGAGCTCGTCGGAAACCATGTTGGCTATCATGAAGAAGTCCCGACAGCTGATTGGTTAAAGAATGATTGACTATAGATTCAAACAACTTTGCAAGCACCGATAGAACTGCAATAGGTCTGAAAGCAGTGACTTCCATCGACGACCCAGTTTTGGGAACGGGCGTTACCCTTGAAACTTTCCATCTATTAGGATAGACACAACTTTGCAGAGAGAGATTGTATAAGTGGAGGAGAGGTGATTCAAAACTGATTAAACAGTCCTTTATCAGAAAGACAGGTATATTATCTGGACCATACGCGGATGATGCCTTAAGCCTACGAACAGCTCGTCTCAAGTCTACAACATTAATATTATTAATAGTTATGTTAGATACCGAACCACAATCCATTGCATCTCGCATAGCTGCTTCTGGACTCAGTGATGGAATACGGTTATGAAAAACTGAGCCAAAGTATTGTGCAAATGCATCAACAGCATCTTGGCCTACGACAACCTGGTTATTATAAACAAATTCCTTACCCTGTTGTCTCTTTGCCCGCTTGTCTTTTACATACTGCCAGAACGAGGACGGATTTGCAGTTATATTATTTTCCACGGTGCTTATATATTTCTTGTATGCGTCATTAATAAGTCGTTTTACTTTACTTCTATAATATTTAAATAATTCCATATTAAATTGTAAATTACGGATTTTAAACATTTTTAAATTATAGTGTTTTAATTGAATATAATGTATTATTTCACCAATATACCAAACCGGATATACATATTTATTCATATTAACATTTCTTTTTCGGGGGACATGTTTATCAATGAGATTGCTTAATTTATCATAAAATCTATCAACTGCTGTGTTTAGGTCTCTTTCTTGTAGGACTTCTGTCCAGTCTAGACTCGCTATGTTAGAGTACAAGCATTGGAAATCTGCTTTGCGAAAATTCCATTCAATATTTGCGCTGTGTACTCGTTTTTTAGACGTTGGTTTTGTCACCGTCTGCTTTAATGGGGGAAGCGAGATAAATATCTCTAAAGGAGGGTGATAACTGTCAACAGGTACCAGGGGCTCAGTATTAGATATTACATTCACATGTTGTAAGTTTACGGTAGTCAGAACAAAGTCCAGTATGCTGTCAAATTTGTTGCGTACATTGTTACATTGACGTAATTTACAGTAATCAAGAAATACATCAAACTGCATCTTTACAGAGTTACTACATGATTTTAAGTTGAAATCTCCGACAATTAAAAAATCGTAGTTTGAATATGCACTAACAGCATTCTCTATACAATTTAGGACACTCAAATATTGCTTAGAATTATAATTAGGAGGCAAATACACAACAATAACGAATATTTTGACATTTTTCCGCGTAACTATAGCGAATATCAACTCCTTATCATCAGTTAAATCATCGATATTTGTAACTTTCTTAACCTCATAGCAACTTTTTACTGCTAACAAAACACCTCCCCAACCGACATCACCCGGCCGATCTTTACGCAATACAGTGTAATCGGAAGTGAACAACTCGGAATCATAAATGGAATTATTTAAAAAAGTTTCAGTGAGAGCAACGAAATCATATGAAGATGACATGGCATTAGTGTAAAATTCTGATGTTTTTGTCCGAAGACCCCTTACATTCTGATAATACATCATAATTCTTTTAGTGGGTTTGCTCTTACTTATTTTTTTAACGTAAATTTGAGTGACTTTTTTCAACGGTCTAGGATGTAAATCTTTCCGACAATGATTACTCGAGAAAAAACTTATTACATTTACTATGTGGAGAAGCATTCTTACAAAAATTAAACAAGTTTCTTTTAATATTGTACATAATTACTTTGTATAAATTGATTAATCCTTTTCTGTTAAGTTTACCAGTACTTTGTGAGAACATGTCAAAGGTGAGGTAGCTATTAGAATCAAAACAGGTAGCATAATTATTGTTTTCCAGATCCCTGTGCAGAAGATTATTGAATAATTCAATTTTGTAGTTATATATGGGAGCCCCACAAACATAAGTAGGCGCACAGACAATTAAATTAGTGTGGGTTATATGTTCTAACGATTTCTTAATAACACTTACCATTTCCTTATAATTACATGACATATCAAAACCATTGCCTCCGAGCATAATTACACAGTAATCATTCATATTAAAATTCAATATCTTATTATCTAGATTATTCAACAATTGCAATACATTTATATTTGGAAAAACATAACGACAATAGTAAAATTGTGAACCGAATATATCCTCCACAGCTGACAGTGTATTATAGGAACTCAAGTTAGTTAAAATACATAGTTTATTTTTTACCCCGTTTCCGTTCGTTGTTAGATTGGGGCAAAATCTGGAGTCATCCAGAGAAGAGTGGCGCGGCTGCAAGTCCGTAGTTTCTTTAGTTTGTAGGGCCTCTTGTAAGTTGCGAATTCGCTCATTAAGACCACTTATTTCACTCCTAGCTCTGTCCAACTGTTGTTTGAGGTCTTCGATGAATTTCTGCGTACATGCCACAGTAGAGTTATTTGAATCCGTCAGAGCAAGCTGTATAGCCTCAGATCTAGAAGGTGTAAGGGTATTCTGTGAACCTGTCTTCTTTTTAGTCTTGCAGTTTGGCGAGTGAGATAGAAACATTTTCAGTGTACCATTTTCCTTTGTTAATTTATTTATTTGACCTCGTAGGTCATTATTTTCAAGTATTATATGTTCTAATTCATTTTGCGTACTGGCAAGCTCAGACCGAAGTTGCTTCATAGATTCATCAATTTCCTGTATATCGATGGCGTCCAATAAAGTGTGATCCACACTGCGTGACAATGTTTGCTCGATAAGAGATAACGATGTGTCGTGCGTATCATTTAAAGACAGTTGATGTTCATGTTGATCACTTATTGAGCTTTTTGGTGTGGACCAGGGCGTCTCACATGCTGTTTTCGATGGTGTGGAATTGGTCGGTATATGCAAACCATTGTTAGACCCTGACTGATTTTCATTCCTTTTGTGAGTTATTGTAGGCAGGAGCTTCTTTTTCCTAATTGTTATATTTGTATCTTCAGAAGCAACAATGTCCTTAGTGCATGCTGTACAACGCCATAGATTTTTTGATTTTGGGCTTTTTAATCTATACGTCTGAGCAGGATAACCATCACAGTCTGGTTCGAAATTATTTTTGCAGACAGAACATAAAGCTGTGTGTTTTACATCCACAGTTTTTTTGCATTTATGACACACCACTAGTGCTGGCATCTTGCGGGCAGCTTTAGTAACAGATGACATTTTTGACCACCAGATGTCGCCAGTTGATATTAGATATTTTAAAATACTAACTTATTCGATTTGTTTATTTTTATCCTTTTGCCAACGCTTTTTTTTATCAGACTGAATGTTCACAGAGAGCATTAAATAAATTTTACAAATCTCCGAAAAGTAGTTCATGTGTCACTGAGATTTGAACTCGGTACTAGTGTAATGTAAGTAGACCAGCAAAATATTCAGCCATGCGAACATTAGTAAATTTGTCGAAATACGCGACTAATTATTATAGTATTTGTTTAGAATATGAACTGAGGGTTAATGTACTTTTAGCTTGCAATTTCAATGTTGGCGGTTGTATAACTTTTGTTTTATATCACTGAGCCACTTTTTCACTCGATTTTGTTTTAGTTACATTCACTCATATTGTTGTTTTTGGATACTATACAAGTTTAACGCCGAATAACACCTTTTTTGTGTTGTAGCTAATATTTAAATTGGGTAACTGAATACACTCCGACGATGTTTGGAACTTTGAATTTTGTAATATAACTTCGTAATTAATGTACACAATTGTTGAAAAACACTATCACTGGGTTATTGGGTCTAGTTTTACAGATTCACTCACTTTACTACACTATTTCTGCACTAATTATATTTTTAAACGTATTTTATTATAGCGCGTTTGTTATTTACGTCAAGCTAGATACAGCGCCATCTCATCGATACTTAGTAATAAGTGCCTTCGCAAATATTTGTAACCGTTGATTCAATTAACTGCGTTTGCAACTGCATCTCTCCAAATACGGATATTAAAGCTCTACTGGATATGTAGAAAATGCTCTAATGATGCACAAGCTAACATTACTCATTACCTAATTCCATAGGATAAATAAATTAAACAAATGAATGAAATGAGTACTCAGGAATCTGTAGGCATTAAACATTTAAGACTTTGCACCTTAAAGATTTCGTAACAGTAGTTTGTTGGAGAGGTTGTGTATTTTCAAGACTATTAAGTCTCAGTCTAATCTTAAAACAGTAGTTTTATATTCCCTAAGATCAAAATAATGGCTAATTTTCAAAATAAAATTTTCTTAAACTCTGATTCTGATAACCACGTAGTTTCAATATTGTAATGTCTATAATCTAAAAATCCAATCCAAGAAAACTCAACGTATAAGAACCGCAATTCCTAAAAAGTACACAAACATGAAAGAATCCAAATATCCTTTCACGAAACTGGAAATAAAACAAACAAATTGTCTGTTGTCTGTACATTTTGTTTCTGTTTGAAGACAAACTTGTTTTTGATGTTTTAAGTGTAGGTAATGAAGACGCGACGCATTAAAACATGTTCGCCCTCTTTCTTTATGACACCAGTTTCAAATGGTACATAAATAGACGTACACCAGACGTACTGTTATTACACAGTATAAGAATCGAAAAACTCAATAGGTTACTTATTTGTTACTTTTTTGAGTACCAATTCTGACTGGAAAATTTTTTCTAGGAAGTTAACCTTACGATCTCTACACGACATGTATCTTAAGGCTATGTATTTTTAAGTTAATAGCAAAAATAATTTTGTATTTGGCTACATACTTAGTAGTGTTAAGAATTAATCACTCAAGTTTCTCAGAATGTATGCAAGTACGACTAGAAAATTCGAACATTTAGCACTTGCATCGTAATTTTTTTATTCGAAGGCAGTACATTCATACCCAAGGGCGATCTAATTGCCACGCGCCACTGCTAATTAGATCCGCTGTTTGTTCAACTGAATATAACCTTAAGTTCTTGTTTATACTGCAAACAGCAGGTGTAAGTGAGCAAATGTTGAGCAATAAATATAACATGCAGCTGTCTTACAACAGTCGCTCTGGAATGTTCTGCACCTTTCTATGAAGTTTAATAATGATTGATGGTAAAAACAAAGGTTATCGCATGTTTCCCTAAACAATAGTGCGTAGACAATAGGTAGTCAATAAAAATATTTGGTCTGACATTTATTCTTCATCTTCGGACGCTAATTGGAAAATTCAACAGGCACAAACAAACTTTCATCTTACGAGTAATTCAAGTTAATGCACCTTTTTTACAACATTCAGTTGATTGATCGCTATCAACCGCTCATAAATCTCTAAACGGGTCAAGTAGTGCTTCAATAGCTATACATAATGCATTGGAAAACGTTAGAATCTGTGTCAAGATAATGATCGTAAACATTGCTCTTACCTTCTCTTAGTACAGATTCAGCAGCTTGGCCATTATTGAAAATAGTTTTCACAAAAATGCCCATGTCACCACGCGGTGAGTCCCGGCCACCTACGATGCTAAACCCGAGACCTTTCCCGCCAGCTGACTTTGTGAACCGCACCTGCAACATTTAGGATTAATATGAATACATGGCATTAAATATTTACGAGAGCAATATATGGCTATTTTATGTTACGTAATAAATGTCACAGAAGTCATAATTTCATGCATACCTCAAAAGTGTGTGTATCTCGAGGTTCAGGAGCAGGTGGTCGCTTCCCTGGCTGAGTAGCGGCAGGTGGTGCGGGAGGCGGGCGTGCTGATCTTGGAGTCGCACTAACACGTAACTCAGCAACACCATTCCTCAACTGGGTCATCGAGTCCTGCCTGGACTGAACCCGCGGCAATCTATAAGGTTCTTCCCATAACCTCTGAGAAGCATCACAGGGTAGCCGATTGTATCCATTTCTATAAGGGACATCTAATTCTACATTTTCACTGTAGGGTCGACGACTTCGTCCCTCTGAACTGTTTTTCCTCCTTTCAGGCACATAATTATAATCAACTACATCTCGACTTTCGTCTTCTTGACTAATAAGAGGCGCGCGGTCTCTAGATGTTGCAGAATCTTTGGCTGCTCTGTAAACGTTTGGTGAACTACACCGTCTTCGAACTGATGCTGACTGGCGAGTCGGGGAGGGTGACGGCGGATGCCTTGTTGCAGTAGGACTAGGAACATAGAAAGTAGATGGTTGTTGCTGGGGTGGAGCTAATACGTCATGAGCAGACAGTGCTCGTCGCCGGAGTCCACCGCCAAGTTTTCCCAACGCACGAAGTAAATCTGGGGCACCGCTAGTCACACGAAGGGACGCAGTTGTGTACACTTTTCCTCGATGTCGGAATGACAGTTTTGAAGGTGGTGCAGGGGAGCAGTGTGTTGGAGGCCTCGGTGGTGACGGTGAGCAGCGCACTGGGCTCGGCTCACGGTTGCCAGATCCCGGTCGCAATCGTGAACATCGTCGACGTAGTTTCCGCCATCTTTGAGACAGATTAGCGTTCCATCCCTCTTCTGGAACGTGAATATATAGAAGGTTGTAGAAGATACTTGTAAGTTATAATGTCAGCAGTGACCGTTACATGAATTTCATAACATGTAATGTGACAATTGTACGACACTATAATACATGTTGCTGGAAGTCAAATCTAACATTATCCAGTTAATGTTCTTAATAAATGGAGGTAACGGTTTAGGTAAACGCCATTAACACCGTATATGGTTTTATGACACATAAGGAAGTTACCTTTCTTGTTGGTGTCGGCGTCGGAGGCGTAGTCGTGAGCACGCGGGGGAGGCGCGGGCGGCGACGCGGGCGCTGCGAAGCTATGTCGCAGCGGTGTCATGCGCAGCAGCCGGGGACGGTCGCCGCCACCACCGCGAGAACCCCACGCTGGAGCTCCCATTGTCATTTAACACCTGAAATATGAATGCAAACAATCATGTAAATGCAAATATAAGCACCAATTAGTTAGCTTATAATAAAATCTTTTACAAAACACACGTTTAATATTAATAAATCAGATAATCCATAAAGACGGGCAATGCGTAACTAATAGGTACGGCATAAACCATCTTAGAATGATTGGTTTTTATTATGTCCACTGATTCTCTTTCTCAATACTCATTAATGTTTTATTACTGAACGGTAAGTGTAAAGTATTTTATTAGAACAAATTGTAAAAGGCGAAGCCCAATAAGATTCCACTGGCAAGTCATGAACGAAGTGGGTTGATGGGTACTCATAGTCGTGATTACTGTAGTTGGACTTAATAAACTAGAACCATCACGCACCGCTAAATATAGGAACCGCTTGTGCTTATTAGAAGCTTGATATAATTAGATGTGACTTAATGCCCACTTACGTCTTGAGAGCAACTTCCAGAGCAAGTAAAAAAGGCATGTGCCCGTATTAATTAAATGTTTAAATATGCTTTAAAGCTGGTAGCCGTTGAAGATTATGGAGGCATAAACATTGACCACGGTGCTGCCCACACGGCGTGGGTTTAGGTCGGCAAACAACGACGTCCGGTCACCGGAGCCCTGTCGCATAACTTCAACAATTATGTCTAGTCGTGACCCACATAACTCGTAAAATATTCGTTACCAGCGACCAGAGTCACTTCAATGAAGGGCATGTCACGATTTTACTCATTCAACGAATAAAAGTACTAATGTGTCGTACACAGCCTTGCGTTAATTGACACAGTTGGTTAATCTGTTTTTATTTCATTAGCTCTAATAAAATGAAGCTATTTTTAAACTTTTATTCATGTTCTGTACATTTGGTATATGTCTACATTTCAATTATAGACTACCATTAAATCGTTTGCTTGGATTAGACAGATGTTATTGTAATTATAGAACCGAACCCAAACATTGTTTTGTCTGACTGAGTAGGAGCTACCGAGTGCCTCTTGCGGATATCCGCTCCGGCAGACTTACCCACCACTCATACTAAATAGTTGAGGCGCACTTGATGCACTCCACCGTCTCTACACCGTCTACGGTTTTATATATTTACGACCATGAAGTAATTATAATTTACAACCGTTTTATTTGATGGTTCGGTGAACAGAGCTCGCGTGCGTTACGACTAGTTAGATTTGTTTCCAGTGTGCACCAAACCAGCTAACGTACAAACAGTTTCTGCTACAAAATTGTGGGAACATATAATAGGAATTTCTGATCGAAATATCTGCATTTATAAAAATTTTTCTTTAGTGTAATAGTTATAAATGACTAGTCGATTTCAAAGCCTGGAATTTAGGCTTAAATCATAATAACAAATTACTCGTATGTTTACAAAGACAAAAATATCGCATGGTTTGTAGATAAAATAAATAAGAATTAAATATACGGTTATAGACTGGATAGTTTAGGATAAGGGGACAAAATTTATCTCTGGGGACAGTACAGTTGTAGACACTATAAAAATACTAGCGAGTAATTAAATTCCGGTGTTCTAATCCCGAGGGCGAAACTTTACGACCGAAGGGATTGTGGTCTAACAAAAACAAAGGATATTTATTTGTGTTGACCAGCTCTGAATTGGAGTTCGAACTCGGAGAAACTCAGAATTTGAAGTTGAAACTCAGAGTTTGAAATTGGAACGCAGAATAGGAGTTGTGTACAATAGTGTAGGTACTGTTATTCCATTCATAAGCTCGATATATCTCCAGTTACAATACAAAACAAATTACTGTATGATAATATTACAATGACTAATGTCTATGTGTAGTAATTAATGAATGGATTAAACTAAGTTTAATTGGATTAGGAAGTATTTATTACTTTACTATTTAAATGATTCACATTTTCTTAGAATTATAAGGAAAATTCTGCTTATGATTATATGTATTAAATTTTATGAAACAATTAAAATATGCCTCATGTAAAACAATTCATAAATTTAATGATATGAGTGAGGCAGGAATATGAGTCAATAGCCACCATTAAATGGATGAAATTTAAGTTAAAGAGTTATAAGTTCACAAGGAGTTCAGCCACATAATATTAGTCGTACGCCATAGTTCTCTTTATTGTTACGGCATTGAAGTAATTTGATAGCAGACTATAAAACTGTAAAGTACAGTTTTGTACAAAACAATAGCATTCGACTAGTTTATCCAGTGCACGGTGTAGGAAATTGGCGTTAATTTCTGCCGGCGCGGTACCGTTGCGAGCCGAATTTGGCAGCACTGACAGTGTCGCTGCCACTACGCTGGTCACTGATCTTCCGGTGTTTCGGTGCTTACTGACAGTTACGGAAGCAACATTAAAATTTCCCTGATCAATCATCACGTTCAGTTAATTAGCTTCTGTCATTCGAAACGATAATACTGGCGCCCCGATATGTCTGACATAGTTAAAGAGACATCAATGGAGATGCGTTGAAATCATAACAGGTTACTCCCACGCTTTTGCCGCGCCGTGTTTGGGATAGTTTTTGCCGTAAAGCTAACAACGTTCTCGTTCATACAATAGAATGATCTATTAAATCTTAGTTTTCCTGTTGTGTCGTACGTTATAAGCTGGTGCCGCACGCAACTTGATAAACGACGTCATTTTCTTAAAATATAAAAACTAAACCTAGTCACTAGCTAATAATAAAGTTTGAAAACAATAGAGTCATCTCCTAGAATAGTTGTTTATATAATATTTTTTATTAAATTCACATTTTCCTTATTGAGCTTTATTTCTTTTGGAATGTCTTAACGCAATAAGAATAATGGAACGTTTCTTCTATAGATTTGCATTACGGGAAATAATGAATGTTTTAAAATGAGGTGTTGCCCTTTGTGCGTGACAAAATGAAAGGCAAAGTTCATAGTATCAGCAGATGGGTGGGTCTGGGAGCACGGGCACCTCAATTGTTCCCTAGCGGCCCTTCTTTGAACTCAAGTGGCCGCCATTAAGGCCTGAATCCATTAGTTGTTCATTCCACGGGGGTTTAAGTGTTCTCGACCGCCTCAATGTGACGTGTGAACCGGCAAAGCAACAGTCCCTCTGTTATCTGTAGATTACTAGGCTGGGATATTGAAATTGAAAGTTATTTTGATTTTACAAAAATATCAATTTTCTAATACTCATTTAATAAAATGTCTACTTTTAGGAAGTAAGTTGACGAGGCAGTTCTATGTATACGAACTCGTCTCGCTTGAACCATTTAACCAGACCCTAAGTGGTGTTGTTCGTTTATTCAAAACGTTTACAATCAGGCCAGTGATGTGGTTACATTAAGTTATTAAATGTAATAAATAGGCATCGTGGTTGAGCATCAAGGTTAAGAGCATAAAGCAAACCTGATATCGTTGCTATAGTTTTATTATTAATTATAGCCTTATATTTTGTTCTAGACCTAGATATTCAATTTATTAGCAGAGACAAGTCGGCCATACAATATTGTTGGAGGAATTTATGGTTTATAACGTAACTGTTTGGTGGCCATGTTGCGCCCACACTTATTAACCAAACTAAGATTTATGCGTGACTACGAGAGCGATAGTGGTACAATAGGCCCTAAGGAATGTGACCCGAGTTTTGTTCGTTACCTACATCAGCGTCGCCCCTTTCATATAATCAATTCATGGTATGAACGACCATGATGTAATCATAAAGGGTTTTACGATCGCGACATGTTTATCGCAGGGTGTGAATCAACTGTTCTTCTATAATTCATATGCATATTCTGAAATCAACGTCTGAATAAAATATTAATTTGGGCAATTATTGTTTTATACATATACGTGTGTGATATTTGTGCAGTCAAACACTGAATTACAACGTTAATTAAAATAGAATAACAAGCACGATACAGAGACAGACAGTTAAAACAAAAGTGAAGAAATGATGTCATAAACTCGGCTAAAAAACAAACAAAAGACGAAAGCGGCAATAGTAATCACGAAGCCGTTTGAAAATAATAATGTTTCGGTACAGTTTATAGCGTTATTTGTAATTTATGTGCACAAGTAGGCCAGCACTAGTCGGCTGTAGTCATCAGTACCGTGGATCTGTAGTCTGTACAGCGACAATGTTTGCCATAGAATTAAGTAGCGGGTTGATCCCGCGCTCTACATCTCAGATCATCGAACGAATCTGGGAAATTCTCTCTCTTTCTATTACGATTTTTTCTCAGAAGAAATCTGCTCCAATTTCATTGTTATAGTTTAATAAGTTGTTGTACAAAGTTCTGCGTAACAATAGAACAAATGTACACAAATTAAACACTTATTGCAACTGGAAGTAATTATAATATCGTGAATATTCATTGTTTGTAATAGCTATGCGAAGTATTTGCAAAGGTGTACCTATTCGCAGTTATTTATAAAATGTTTTGAGTAGAAAGAACTATAAAACTCCTTGTGAAAATGTTTAAAATGCATAATGTACGATGTCATTAAGTGATTGCATGAAAGTTGATTTTTGCAACAACGTTTTATTATGTGGTTTAAAAGAGGCTCTTGCCGACAGATGCGTATGGTATAACTAGTTATCACTAGATTCTTGAATTCAAAAGAACCTTTAGCTAAAGCTAAAACCAATCATCCAATGCTTGTCTTTAGATTCTTATAAACATAATAAGTAATAAGTATATTACATATTACTAATAATAATGATAAGTATAGTACATATTACTATCTAGTAAATTATATCAAGTTTTTAAAATAGATCTTCGAAACTAAATACATACATTATTTCACCATTCATACAAATATTAATACTAGAAAATGAATGTTTTCTTTTTCATTTGGAAAGCAGGTCTTTCTGGCTGGTATGCAGGCTCTTGTGAATCACTTAATATATTCAAAATTATTCTACATGACAATGTTCATGAGCTAAGACGTTTGAGCTTCCTAATACGATACATACATTAAACCGCATCGCTAAGACAACAAAGAGGTAAATC